AAGGACCTCTGTGCTCTGGGCTCCCGGGTGACCCTCACAGGGCTCCCAGCAGAAGAACGGCCACCTCAGTCTCATTGCCTGTTGAGGGGAAGGTAAAAGGCCGAGGACAGCTCTTGTCCCAAGAGGAAGACCAGGACACATCCCCTCAGCGCCACCCAACTCTCCCTTCTTAAACCTCCATCACCTCACACACAGAGAGGAATCATGCAAATACCTTCAATAGATACCTTCTCAATAGATAACCAGCAAGGACCTACTGTGTAGCACAGGGAACTAAACTCAGTATCTTATAATAACCTATAAGGGAAAAGAATCTGGAAAAGAATATATATATATGTATATATTTATATATATGTAAAACTGAATCACTTTGCTATACACCTGAAACTAACACAACGTTGTAAATCAACTATACTTCAATTTAAAAAAATAAATAAAATCATTTATTAAAATATATAACATATATTTTTAAAGAGCACATAAATTATTTTTTAAAATACCTACTCAAGGATAAAGAGCGTGTCCCCCAAAATGTTTTTAGGAAAATGCCTAGCCAGGGGCCTGGTCCTCAGGACGTGGTTAGTGACTCTTCTGATTCTCAGAGAGTTGCCCCCATGCTGGTGGTTTGTGACCAGAGCCAAGGGTACAGCCCCCTTGTAGGCACATAGGTGGCCCTCGGGAAGGGAGCTGGCAGCTGGCGGCCCCCCACCATGGCCTCAAGGGAACAATGCTGTGTTCACTGTACCTGCTGCATAAGCCACAGAGACACCCCCGCCCACGTGGAGTCGTCCTCACAGGGCGGCCGGGAGCAGGAGAAGGGCAAGTTCATGGCTATGTAGAAATGGAAGGAAGGACTCTCGGTTTCATTTTTTATCAATTTTCACATAACAACCAGAAACTTCTGCTCTTCTCTCTTTTTTGAGACATTCAAACCACAGGATGTTACAACAGAAAGTGTCCTTAGCTCACTTAACCAAAGCGCTGTATTTTGCAGGGAAGGGGCCGGAGGCTCCAGGATGAGCTTGGATGGTGGGTGTAGAAGCAACTCCCCTGACCCCCCTGCCTGGGCTCCCCACAGAGTCCCACTGTGCATTTCCAGGCCTCCAGATCCATCTGCCCTGGACTCAGGGACTGGGGCACAGCCAGGAAGGAGGGTGCCTGTCATCCTGCCTGTGTCTGAACAGTGATACTCAGCAAGGTAGGGGCACACCATGCCTCTGGTGCTCTCAGGAACGAGCACCTGCCTGTCTGCATCCATGCCTACACGTAATCAATTAGCAAACCTGCTGGTATTTCCAGCGGGACTGGGCGAGAGCAGTGAGAACACATGCATCCCCTCTATCATCCAGGCTAGCTCTTCAGCGCTTCCAGAGGCAGCAGTTCGGTTCCTTAGTGGAGACCTGGGCAGGAGAGTGTTGTCCTTATCATCACCAGTTGGATAATAGCTCACTTTTACTGAGCACGTGCTGTGGGCTGGTGTGTTTCATGCACTAACTCCTTCAAACTTTAGATCGGCTAAGAGGTACTATTATGATTTTAATCCACCAATGAGTAAACTTAAACAATGTACCTGAGGCCACACAGGCAGTGGTGGTGGAGCCACTTTGGCACCGAGAGACTGATTCCAGGGCCAAGCCCCATCCCCAGACTGCACTGCGTCTCCTAAGGCAAAGCCACAGCGGGAACAGCTTGACACATCCCTGTCCCCAGGGCAGGAGGCAAGACCCTCAGAGAAGTTCTGTCCAAGGGCCAAGATATAGAGCTGGGATATGGCCACCCAGGCCGTCACAGGGCTAGAACAGGCCCGGGTGCCTTGGCCATGCAAGGCAGGTCGAGGGGCCTAGCAGTGCTCTCTGGAGGGCTGGCATGGGGCAGTGGGGGTGAGGACAGCCAAGGTGGCCGGGAGCCCGTGTCCCCACTGGCCTGGCTCCTCCTGTGTCATCACAGCACATGAATGTGTGGCCTCAGTGGCATTAGGTTTAAGAAATAAGTCTTCAAGGGGACGTGCACATTAGCCTCTTGCACGCAAATGTTTGTACTTGAATGTGGCGAAAAGGTCATTTGAAGCCCACCCTTTAATTTCTGTCTGTGTGGAGGACAAGGCAGAGAGGAGGAGGTGTGGGCATGAATCTGCATTGCAGCGTTGGTGAAAGCCGGTCTTGGTCCCAGGTTGGCAACCTGGTGTAAGTGTAGAAATGATTTAGGTTGAGTTATGCGCAACAGCCAAAAGTTGGAAACAGCCAAGCGTCCAGCTACAGATGAATGGCTAAACAAGGTGTGATCCATCCATATGGCGGATTATTATTCAGCCTTGTTGTGGCCTGCATCCTGTGACCTCCCAAAATTCATATGTTAAAGCCCTAACCCCCAATGTGATAGTATTAGGAGGTGGGGCCTGCAGGAGGTGATAGGGCTTAGGCGAAGTCATAAGGATGGAGCCCCCATGATACTGTTAGTGCCCTTTTGAGAAGATACCAGAGCGCTTGCTCACTCTGCCACGTGAGGACCCAGGGAGAAGGTGGCATCTACAAGCCAGGATGTGGGCTCCCACCAGACACCGGAGCTGCTGGCACCTTGATCTCGGACTTGCCAGCCTCCAGAACTGTGAGAAATCAATGTCCCTTGTTTGAGCCATCCGGTCTGTGGCATTTTGTGACAGCATCCTGAACTAAGATGAGCCTTAAAAAGGAAAGAAATCCCAACACCTATTACAACACAGATGCACCTTGAAGACACCATGCCAAGCAAAATAAAGCAGTCACCGAAGGACAGATATTATGTGATTTACTGATAGCAGGCTCCTGAAGCCGTCAAATTCAGAAACAGAAAGTAGAGTGGTGGTTTCCAGGGGCTGGGGGAGGGGGGAAATGGGAGTTATTGTTTAATGTGGACAGAGTTTCTGTTGGGGAAGATGAAAAAGTTCTGAAGATGATGGTGGTGACGATGATGCACAATAATGCAGAATGTACTTAATACCACTGAACTGCACACTTAAAATGGTTAAAATGGTCAATTTCATGTTATGTATGTGTTACAACAATAAAAACATGCAAGATTCAATGTATTGATGGGGTGCTTACTATTAAGGTTGAAAACAGCTCTGTAATGGGAAAGGGATCCTCACTGAAATATAAGTACTTGCTACAAGGAAGAAATTTGAGACACCACCCCCCTTGCAGAAGCCCCCAGACGTGGGAGGTGATGGCCACCCAGTAAGTAGGTGCCTGTAGGGCCCAGGAAGGCAGCGGGCTTGATGCAGGCAGTCAGCCGAGCCCCAGGTGCACCTCCTGTGACACGAAGCAAAGCCTCAGCCTCTGGCTGACTGTCAGGAGAGTAACATGCTCTTATCTTCTGCTTTGTCCCCCAGGTGGCAGTGACCAAAGAAGAGGCTCTCCTGGCCGAGGCCCCAGTACATGGAGAGAAGGAAGACAGCAATCTTCTAATTGGAGCCATATACATTAGGTCAAAGCATTTTCTTATTTTCGAGCCACACCAACTCAAAAATCACACCCCAGTCAGAGCCATGTGCAAGCTGGTGTAGTAACAGTGAATGTCTCTGAGGTCACAGGCCCCACTGTCTCGTTCCTCCATCCTGGCACCTTCGACGAGCGTATTTCTCCAACTCTTACAAATGCTCAGGTGGGCTCAGAGAAGTTACACAGCATGACACAGCTCATCACAGGGGCAGAGCTGGGGCTGAGTTTAGGCCAGCATTTCTGGCTCTAAAGCAGCAGCAGTCGGCACAGACCTAGCCCTCTGAGCAGGGCACATCCAAGTGCTTATCTTGAAAAAGGAACGGGACACTCATCAATAGCATGGGATTTAAACTCACCCCACGACATGTAAAGTTAATTACATATTCATTAGGATAACATTTTCCATCATCTTTACTCAGCAAACTTTCTGTGAAGGTCCAAATAGTAAATATGTTTAGTTTTTTAATTTTAATTTGATCTGTTTATTTTATTTATATATTTATGGCCGCACTGCATGGCATGCTCGATCTTAGTTTCCCGACCAAGGATCAAACCCATGCCCTCTGCAGTGGAAGTGCAGATTCTTAACCACTGGACCTCCAGGGAAGTCCAGTATGTTTGGTTTTGTGGGCCTTGTGGTCTTCTCTGTTTTAACTGCTCGACTCAGCCACGTGCACAAGCGACCACAGACAGTACAACGAGTGGGCGTGGCTGGTTCCAATACAACTTTATTCACAAAGTCAAGTGGTGGACCAACCCCTTATTGAAGGAGACAGAGGGTGCATTTGTGCTTTATCAGGCATGTCTGTATTACCACTGGTGGCCCTGGTTCACTGGTGGGAGTCACCCTCACATGCTGTGTGCTGGTTGGTTTTCCCCAGCAGCCGGCTGGCACCGTCGGCCTGTGGTCAAGCTGCAGGGCACTGTTTTATCCCCCTACCTGGGATTATTCTGCCTAGGAAATCTGAGAGCTTTATGAATTTTGTTGGATTGTTGTTGTGAGAATGACAACTCTTGGAAAGTTGGCGAACGGTTTGTCCTCTTCAGCAAGTGTAGTATTTCTGTCGACTCTGGATTGATGTGGAATCTTTCCTGAGAGCCAAGTGAGGGGGAGGGCTGAGGTGGGCACAGGGATGGGTCAGTGATAAAGGCGTAGGTGGGATATAGTGGCAACACAATTACATTTGTGGAAGTGTTACACGTCTGCATAACTTGGAAGGGGATTAGAAATCTAGCGACTCCAAATGAATCTTAAGATCCGGTGTTTAATTTTTCTAGACCAACCTTTTCAATCGATAGTCACTGAAATAGACAGAACGCAAAGTAGGAAGCACTGAGCTGGGAATGCCCCCTCTCTCCTGTGGCAGCTACAAAGGGAAGACATTTGAGTCTGACTTTTATTATTTATTGTCACACATCAGGCAATCAGGCAGTGTCCCACATTGGCTCAAACATATGGCGCAGCAAGCAGAACTGGTTTCTTCTCTCCATCATGTTTGCCTCTCTGTTCTCTCCTGCAGATGGATGGTTTCTAGCCTGCTTCCAAACCCCACCTCAGCTGAGTGTTGGGCGGCCCTTCTACACGATCCTATGACTCTTGATATGGACGCAGTCCTGTCAGACTTTGTTCGGTCCACGGGGGCAGAACCTGGTCTGGCCAGAGACCTGCTGGAAGGTAGGCCTCCTCCAGCCCACCCCCCAACCCAGTGACAAAAGATAAGAAGGTTTCTCTTACCTGACGAGGGTGGTACTTAGACTCCTAAAAAAGCAAAAGAAGGTGTGGATGATGAAATCACTTTTGTTATTCTTGTCTTTCTTTGGGGAATGGAATAGATCACCCAACTCTCTACAGTAAAAGAGCAGAAGGCATTAGCTAAGCTTTGCTTTGCATTAAAGCTTACACATACCAAGTCAAAATCTACCAATACCTATTTTTTAAAGAAAAGATATTTAGTAAAGCAGAAATTAGAGAACATTCAAAAAAACACTTTTATTGGAGACCGTAGCTTCTTATCTTTGTCTTAGCTGAGACAAAAATAATTTAGGCCAAAGTTTTTGGTGAAAAAACAACTAATAGCCAATAAAATAGTTGAAAATAATTCACAAGCAAGAAGGCAAATTCATCCTCAAGCTTTTAGAGTAGGTATCATTCACTACATGAAAAATGTGCATAGTCCATATTTAGAATGTTTTGAGATAGTTATTCAGCTATAATCATAATGAAATAAAAAGTAATGTTTAGTTTCAGTCTCTAAAATGGATTTACTTTGTGTATTTTTGAAATTTCTTTTTTCGTGGTGGGGTGAAGGAAAGAAGTGGGAAGAACCAATGACAGCTTCTTAGGAGAGTCCTGTGTGTGAAAGGGGAAAATTTTTAAACAATTAATCTTTGCTTCATATGTATAAATTCCTACTTGTGAAATTAGCAAATATTGGTCAAGTCGTGTTAAGTCACAATGATTCCTTCATTCACTTAGGGAAAAATATGAATTACTGTAGATTTGTATGACTGGAGGTAACTATTCAATCCTATTGAAAATTAGCCGCTTATTGGGGGTTTCTGATTAAATGGCAGTAGTTTTTAAATTTCCCTGAACCTCCCAGAATTTCAAACAAACTCGAGGTTTACAATAAAATATGCTTAGAGAATATCTGTGATATATGTGAATCAAAGTGCTGTTCCAATGTCTCCCTGATAGCTTTCACTGCTTTTCTTAATTTCAGTGAGCAGTCATATGGAGAAGTAGGTTTACAGTGAGATTGGCAACAAGGGCTGGGGTCAAGTCCAGACTCAACATTTACTGGCTACGAGATGCAGAGCAAATTATTTCATTTCCCTTAAGCCTCAGTTTTTTTTTTCTATACAGTGAGCCTAACCCACTTTCCAGGGCGATCGTAAACATTAGGAGTTGTGATGTAAATGCCCAGGTGGAGTGAGCAGCGTGTAGAGATGCTCAGACAGTAGCAGAAGATCTTGTCCGTGGTTGCCCTCTTTGCAACTGGTACTGACCTCGCTGCTGAGACCTGGTTAGGCTTCAATTGGAAGCAAGAGTTGTCAACTCTTTTCTTTTTTCTTTAATTTTATTTTTTAAGGGAAAATACAGGAAAATGACTTTTTGTGTACAGTTCTAAGAATTCGAGCATGTGTATAGATTTGTGTTATTATGACGGCTCTCAGAACACAGAACTGTCGCATCACCCCCAAGTACCCCTCCTGCTCTCTTTAACGCTGTGCCTTCCCCAACCCTGGGCACTGGCAACCCCTGCTCTGTTTTTTTATCACTTTGGCTTTGTCTCTTTCGAGAACTTTATATACATGGAGTCACGCAGAACCTAATCTTTTAAACGGGCTTCCTTTCACTCAGCATAATTATTTTGAGATTCATTTGAGCTGTTGTGCGTATCCATAGTTTGTTCCTTTGTTCTACTGAGTGGTACCCATTGTAGAGATGGACCATGGACTGTTTAGCCATTCACCTGTAGGGGGCATTCAGTTGTTTCCAGTTTTTACAGTTAGACTAGAACTGCGATACACTTGAGAACAGGGGTTTTGTGAACACAGTTTTAATTTTTCTAGGGTAAACACAGGGGAGGGGTTGCTGGTTCACATGGTAAGTATATGTTTAACTTTAAAAGAAGTTGCCAAACTGTTTTCCAGAGTACAATACCGTTTTGCATTTCTACCAGAAACGTGTGAGAGTGCCAGCTGCCCCACATCCTCACCAGCTCTTGGCTTTTTTAAAAAAGAATTTAGCCATTGTAGTAGGTTTAGAATGGTATTTCCTCATCATTTTCGTTATCATTTCCCTAGTGACTAATGATGCTGAGTTTTTTTCATGTTATAATTTTTCATCTATGTATTTTCCCTGGCAAAATATCTGTTCAAGCCTTTTTCCTATTTCTCAGCAAAATTAGGTTGCTATTTTTTTTATAGTTGAGTTTTGAGAGTTCATTATATATTCTGAGTATAAATCCTTTGTCAGATACTTGATTTGCAAATATTTTCTCCCAGTCTGTGCTTGACTTTTCACTCTCTTAGCAGTGCCCTTGGCAGAGCAGAAGTTTTTAATTTTGATAAAGTCCAATTTATCATTTTTTTTCTTTTATGGATCATGCTTTGGATGACATGTCTAAGAACCTTTGCATAAACAGGTCATGAAGATTTTCTCCTGTGTGAACTCTTAAAAGTTTTATACTTTTATGCTTTCATTTAGATTTCTGACTCACGTTGAGTTGATTTTTGTATAACATGTGAGATTTAGGGTAAGGTTCATTTTTATGCATATAGATGACCGGTTGTTCAAACCATTTTTTGAAAAGCTTATCCTTCGTCCTTTGAATTGCCTTTGCACATTTGTCACAAACCAACTGAGGGTATTTGTAGGAAACTATTTATTGATGCCGGTTCAGTTCCACTGATGGATATGTCCATTCCTTAGCCAATACTCCACCGTCTTGATTACCATAGCTTTGTAGTGAGTCTTAAAATCAGCATGATTCTTCCAATTTTATTCTTCTTTTTCAAAAGTGTTTCAAGTATCCTATTTTTTTCCCTCTCCGTATAAACTTGAAGATTGGGTTACCTCTATCTATAAAGTTTCCTGCTGGAATTTTTATTGGAATTATGTTAAATCTATAAATCAGTGCTAACTATGTTACGTCTTCCAACCCATGAAGTCAGTGTAGCTATATTTTCCATTTATTTAGGCCTTATTTCAGTGCTTTCATGAACATTTTGTAGTTTTTAGCATATCAGATCCTGTACATATTTTGTAAGATCTATATCTAGGGAGGAATTGAACTTCTGTAGATGGTATTTTTTTTAAGTTCGGTTTCTAATTGTTCATTGCTCGTATATAATCAACATGCAGTTGATTTTTCCATGTTGTCCTCATATCCTGCAATCTTACTAAACTCAATTATTTGTTCAAGAGTGTGTGTCTGTGTGTGTATTCCTTGAAATTTTCTATGTAGACAATTATGTTGTTTCCTTTCCAATGTGTATGCCTTTTATTTATATTTCTTACCTTATTTATATTTCTTACTCTTATTCTTCACTTATTCCTGTTTATTGCACTGGCTAAGACTTCCAGATAGAGGTTGAATAAGAGTGGTGAAAGGGAACATCCTTGCCTTGTTCTTGATCTTAGAGGGAAAGCTTTCAGTCTTTCAGCTTTATATAGAATGGGTTTTTGTTGATGTTCTTTGTCAGGTGAAGGAAATACCTTTCTGGTCCTAGTTTGCTGAAAGTTTTATCATGAATAGTTGTTAAGTTTTTTCCAAATGCATCTTCTACATCAGCTGATATGATTGAGCTGTTTCTATTCTTTAAACTGCTAATGTAATGTATTGCATTGATTGCCTTCTAATAATAAACCAGCCTTTCAGCCATTATTTCTTTAAAGATTCTTTCTGCTGCACATTTTTCTCCTCTCTTAATGGGACTTGGATGATATAAAGGTTAGACCTTTTGTTATTGTCTTACAGGTCCCTACAGTTCTACACAATTTGTTTTCCAGTCATTTCTCCGTCAATTTTTCAGATTGGATAACTTCTGTTAATCTACTTATAAATTTACTGAATCCCCTGTCATCTGCATTCTGTTACTGAGCCCATCCAATGACTTTTTATTTTAGTTGTTGAATTTTTTCATTTCTAACATATCCACTTGATTCTTCTTTATATCTTCTGTTTCTTTGCTGAGACTTTCTGTATTTTTCAAGAGTGTTTGCTCTCTCTTACTGGTTAGAAAATATAATAACTGCTTTAAAGTCTTGGTCAGATAATTTCAATATCTATGGCATCCCAGCATTGCTATTGAGATTTCCCTGGGTTTTTTGGTATAGTGAGTAAATTTCTATTGTATCCTAGATATTTTGAATATTATGTTTTGAGACTTTGGTTGTTTTTTAAATCTTATGGCAGATATTGTTATTTTTGTTTTAAGAAGTAATTAACCCAGTAGGGTTCAGACCACAAGTCCTCAGTTCCCCAAGACTTCTGTGGATCGTGGTTTCGACTTCAAGTCTTTGAGAAGTGCTGTTGGATTTGTCTGGTGTATGTACCACCTACTGGCCAGTCTGGGACTTAGGCAAGTCGTCTGTCCCATATTTTACTGCTCCAAGTCTCTGGAGTCTATTTAGGGTCAGATCCATACATGTGCAGTTCAGGGGTAAGCCCAAGAGTTCATAAACAACTTTAAGGGGTTGCTTTCCCAAGCTCCTGCCTTACCATAATTGCCTCGATAGTTCTGCGTCCCTGGGACTCTGCTCTCCAGCCCTTCAGCCAGCACCCTGAGGCTGTGTGTGCCCCGCACTCCTGCACACTTGATTTGACTGCACCCACCTCAGAGCTGAGCAGAGGCCAGAGAGAGAGCAACAGCAGTGGGGCTCGCCACACCCGCTGGGATCCACAGCGCCTCTGATTAGAGAGGAAGGTTCTCTGCCTTCCTGTTCTGATTTCCTGCCATCTCCCATTGCTGCCACAGGATTGCTTGAGGTCTGGGGCACAAGAGAACTGAGGAAAAAAATTTAAGAAAAAAAAAGATAAATAAGGGACTTCTACACTCTCTCTGAACATTGTAGACCCCCTTCCTGCTTCTTGAGCCAGAGGAGAGGTCTCCTCTTGGAACCAATGCCCACTTCTGAGTTCTGGGCTGCACTGAGTTCACGTCAGA